ATATGGTATAACGTTATAACGTATTACGTTATATTGTATATCGTTATATCGTATTACGTTAAATGGTATAACGTCAAATGGTATAACGTTATAACGTATTACGTTATGTGGTATAACCGCATATAGAATAATGTTATAGCGTATTACGGTATATGGTATAACTTCATATGGTTTAACGTTATAACGTATTACGTTTTATGGTGTAACATCATTTGGTATTACTTTATAAGGTATTACGTTATATGGTATACCGTTATATCGTATTACGTCATATGATATATCGTTATAACGTATTACGATATATGGTGTAACGTCATTTGGTATTATGTTATAACGTATTACGTGTAATTTCGACCAATCGCGGGGTGACGTAATCGCTAGGAGAGACGTCAACGGGGGTCGTAAATCCCCGTTACGATTATAACAATCGACACCCCGAATTGATCGATCCCCTGATTTCCGTTGAGATAATAGGGGCGATTGAGTTTATATAACACTGTGATTCACAGAATTATAAATTATGTATTTCCAACACTTAGATTACACTGACGAACATAGATGGATAGATAATCACTTATTGCACGAAGATAAGATAGATATGTACGTTAGAGCAGTACTCTTATAATTAGATTTAGTGTATTAGTGGTCGCAGCACTATAAGATATTTAGGATTGGAAATGTATGTGAGAGAACACCGAGAACCGACAAAAGATTTGCGTGAAGTGTTCGACACTCGCTCTATATGTGTACTGCCGTATTAGGCGTTAGTTTTTTGACTGACTGTCGCTCTTTTTCTAATACGGAAGAAAAGTTCGGTGTGGGTGTGCCCCTGTGCCTGAAGAACGCGGGTTCGTTGTTCCCACTTTCGTTAGGAAAAGTGAGGGTGACGAACCTCGGTGTCGATTGGTCATGACCTGCACTATTGCTCGAAGGGATGAGTAGGAGGTCTCCTACCATCATGGTAGATAGATGACTGTGTTCGTGAGGAAAACCTAGCTTGTTTTATCACATGGCTATTCGGATTTTCCTAATAGGTGCATACCCGCTTTCACCGTGTTTTAAGTGCGACTAATAAACCCAAGGACCTCTCTAAAAACCGACTGTGTTTCGAGAATATTTTTAAGCGTTAGAAATTCTTCAAGACAAACGGCTTGAAGACACATGGCGAAACAATACAGAGAAGTGAAAGTTATGGTGGGTCCTTAGGTTTATTGAGGGTCGAAGTGACGTTACGCAGGCCGGTTTTTGTCCGGTCGCGCGGGCTGGATGTTTGCATGGATGCAAATGTTTTAGGCGGCGTAACATCCTCCCCCCGTTGAGAGGGCACCGATCAAATTCTGGCTGTGGAGTCAGGTGCGTCGTTGGTGACCTCCTTCGCTCCGTGTGGACGTTCGGCCTCGTCTGGATCTGAGTGGATGGGTAAGGGGACCAGTCTTTTGACACCGCGGTCCAGGATGCTGGTTGCCGTCTGCACGATAGCGGTCCGGATGATTCCATCGGCTCCTGGGTTGACCTTGACTTCGCGGCCCAAAGGCCACTGCAGAGAGGGCAAGTTATCCTCCCTGAGGATTACTATGGTTTCTTCACGAATGTTATGTTTGCCCTTGTCCCATTTGTTGCGGCGGGTTAGTTCATTTAGGTACTCTCGATACCATCTGCTCCAGAAGTGCTGCTTAATCTGGTGAATGCGCTGCCAACTGGGTAGCCGGCCTGATGGAACTGTCCTGAAATCACGCTCCCGTAAACTGGTTAATGTGTTACCGATTAGAAAATGACCGGGAGTGAGGACAGGAGGATCTTTCGGATCGGATGAGATGGGAGTCAGTGGGCGTGAATTGAGAATGGCTTCAATTTCGATCACAAGGGTGTTGAGGTGCTCAAAGGTCAGGAGCTCTGTGCCGACAACGTGGATGAGAATGCGTTTGAACGCTTTAACCGCGGCTTCCCATAAGCCGCCAAAATGTGGTGTGTTCGGAGGATTAATACGCCATTGTATCTGTCGGTCGGCGAGAAAATTCTGTACCCTATCCTGGTGGTCGTCGGACTGCAGTAGGGTCCGGAGTTCTTGCAGCTCCCGGTTAGCCCCGACGAAATTGGTGCCGTTGTCGGTGAGAATCGTTGCGCAGTATCCTGGCCGCGAGATGAAACGACGTAGCGCGGCCATGAAGGCGTCGGTGGTTAGGTCGCTGACTAACTGTATGTGGACCGCCTTTGTCGCTAGACAAACGAATATGGCGGCGCACGTCTTGATTTTACGTCGGTTGCGGTCCCTCCTCTCCTTGACGTAGAATGGGCCGCAGTAGTCGATTCCGACGTTCGTGAACGGCCGCGATTCGGTAACACGCGCCTCTGGCAAATCACCCATCAAGTATTCCACTGGTGGAGGGTTGGCTCTGCAACAGCGGACGCACCTTCAGAGGGTGCGCCATACCTGGCTACGGCCGTCGATCGGCCAATAGCGCAGTCTCACCGCGTATAGTGTAGCTTGTGTCCCTGTGTGATGATTGTTCCGGTGCTCTTGCTCTATACTTAGCTCTGTCACCGAGGACTTCGGCAGGATGATCGGGCGTTTTTGGCTGAAGGGTATAGCGGAGTTGGTTAGTCGTCCTCCTACCCGGAGTATCCCATCTTCGTCGAGGAAGGGGGTTAATGGCTTCGAGGAAGGGGTTTAATGGCTGTAGTTTCCCTCCAACGTCCTCGCTTCGACTTTTCTGGAGGGTCCGAATTTCAGGCGCGAAATGACTGGATTGTATTATCGTTATTAGTTTGGTGTGCGCTGCAGTTAGTTCGTCGGTGGTGAGATGGGCAGATCGGTGTTGCGTATGTCTCCATCGAAGACACCAGGCGACGTTTCTTATTAGTCTTGGCCAAGACGAGTAACGGTGGAGGAGTATGTTGTCGTTAATATTCGTCCTCAGACAAATCGTCTTCTTTTGCTCCGGGAGGTCGACTACCGGTGTCGGGCTCCGGACCGGCCAATAGTTTTCGCTTTGCAGGAGCCACCTTGGCCCGTTTTTCCAAATGGACGGACATAGGAATTCCTTGGGCGTCTGGCCTCGGGAGATGAGATCAGCCGGATTATCGTCGGTAGGCACATGACGCCAGTCGGAGATATTGCTCTTGGTCTGTATCTCAGCGACTCGATTCGCCACAAATGTTTTCAAGGTTTGCGGCGAAGACCTGATCTAATGGAGCACGATGGTGGAGTCAGTCCAGTATACTACCCGCGATATCTTGGTCGTCAGGGCCTGTCGTATTGACGAAATCAAGG